CGTTCAGTGTTTGTCACTGTTGGCCGACGCCCAGGATGATGCAACAGGACGCTGACTGCAGTTCACTGAACGGCCACTGGTGGCGCTGTTAGGAACAGTTCACTTCTTGATATATATAAAAACTTTAATACTGAATTCAGACTGAAATGTTCTCACAACCTTTTACTGATATTTGTGATCAGTTGGTACGTTTTCGTCTCAATAAAACATGTTTTACGGACATTGATGATGAACCTCTGCAGGACCATAAGCTTCTAACTGTGTTCATGTGAAACCAGATTAATGCTGTCTAATAAAAAAATGGGAGGAGGTTTATACAGATTACAGGATTATCAGATCAACCTGCAGTTCAGCTCCTCCACAGCGGATTTTATCATGAAATTATTCCGGTTTGTTTCGACGGTGAGGAACGATCAGAGGAAACTGCAGCGAGGAGGATTCACGTGTGGAAGCTCCTCAAGATCAACGCTGGCAGAGCTGTGAGGAGGCGACGGCATCGCGGGTTTCACTGCAGTCGACCTAATTGGCTCTCAGAGACAGAAACACTGCAGCTGGATTTCAGAATAAAAGACAACAAACAGAACTGAAATGCAGCCGTCAGTCCGGAAGAGACCTAACTGTCTGCACGCTGCAGCTTTCATGTGCAGGTTTGTAAAAGGAATTTTTCATCATTAGTCCCACCTTTAATCAGCTACTCTAATTAACCCTTTGTAAGCCCCGCCCCCTTTTTCTATCCGCTCCAATCACAGTTGAGCTAGCCAACTTCCTCCTTTCCTGTACTTAGATATGCTATATGCTAGGCTAATGTATGTTTAAAAGACAACCACATTCTGAAGATGGTTAAAAGATAAAAGAAACATTTATATAGACACATCTTAAGTTAGCTAATGTTAGCAAAACGCTAGCTAATGATGACGTGTAAAAGTTACTTAAACATTACGCGTCGCTTCCAGTGAAGAGCTGAAAACATCCCATCTGTGTGAAGTTATATTTCTGATTGTTTTTTTTATTAAGTCCTGATGAATTTGTGAAATTATACATTCTGACTTTGTAATGAGTAATAAGTATAGTCGTTAATTAATTACTGATGTTATGAGAATAAAGTATGTTGCTTTCATTCAGCTGCATTTTTTTTACAGAAATTAATAAAGAAAGGAAATTATTTCCAGAATAATATTGACTTTAATCTTGAACCAACCAAGTTCAACTGAAAACTGGACTCTGTGCTGCTGGTTTCCATCGTTAAAGTTGATCCTGCTGCCGTATTCGTGGCCGGCTCCTCTCTGAAAATGAGATTGAGGATGTTAGTGGGGCTAACCTGATTACATAATGAAAGCAGCAGGACATTATATGTGTCCTCTGCTGGATGTGTGTCAGATGAACAGATGAGATTAGAGCTGGATCAAATCCACTTTCACAGAGTTTGAGGATTTTGGAATGAGAGCATACGTCAGGTCACGACTTCCTCTGGCTCCAGGACTGTTCAGTACTTTAAAAACCTCCTCTGTCAGCCTGCAGCTCCACCAGCGTTAGCTCTCTTTAGTCATGCTGAGTGGATCTCAAACCGCGACCGTGCCTTAACCATACGGCTGTACCGGGACACCCTGATGTAGATAAAGAGTTCTTGCAGTTCGTCCTGAGGGGAACATTTCATCACAATCAGGGCCGTTTCTAACTATATTATGAAACTAAAGGTTATTTTTTATCTAAATCAATCAATAAAATGTTAGTTTTTTCAATGGAGTTTGGTATGTGTGACATATTGAACACAAATGTCTAATAAAAAGCTTCAGAATCACACACACATCCTATTATAAACTCACATTTAACTCCTTTATATCTTCTGATCTGAGGGCAAAATGTTCCCTTAAATTACAGGATTCAATTACAGTTCACTTAAATAAACCTTAAATTAAAATATTAAAGACAAATTAAATTAGCTGCTATAATAACAGAGTAACTAGTGCCACAGAACATATTCATTATTATAAGTTATTATAAACAAACACTATTTATAATACAGAAACCTGCAGTAGCCTCAGTGGACGTTCTGCAGCACGATGCCAGACTCCATTCACAAATCTGGCAATTTAATGTTTTCAGGTGCAGCAGTGAGCATTAAAAACTGAAGGAAAAACATATTTTATATTTTATAAATTCAAAGCTTCTGTTTTGTAATTCGGCCGACACTGAACAATGCAGTGGTGGTGATTTTAAAGATTTTGAGACTTGAACTTCTTGAAATCATCGTCAGAAATCAGCACAAAGAGCTGGAACACATCAATTTTATAAACGGGATTTATTTATCTGAAAAAGCTGCTGCTTGTCATCATATACTGTATTATATATAAACATATATACACATATATACAGTATTATAGATATAAACATATAAACAGCATACCATATTATATCTACTGAGGATAAAATGGTGGTTTCAGTGTACAGGAACAAACAGTTGTTTATTATATAATATATAAGACAGAAAGAACAACCTCATGGTGGCGCTAGAGGAAAGTCTGTGGGATTGATCCTCTGTGAGCAGGGACAGACATTCTGGTTTTGGCTGTTCGTCTAACCCAATGGTTTTCAAACTGGGGTCCGGGGACCAGCAGGGGTCTGTAGTGGGTCTCCAGGGAGAGCACCTCTTCCAGTGGAGGAAATAGTATAAACCCCCACCCCTCAAACACCTCCTGACTATTAACCATCATGCACTGGGGCGGTTGTAGCTGCCTCTTTCACATTGTGCCTATGGTTTATGATCCTCGCTGCTGATTCGGTGCTTTGTTAAATGTTTGTCAGTCTTTCTTTTTATTTCAGCTCCGTTTCTGATCCTTTTCTGAGCCGCTGATCTCACATAAATCCCATCATGCATCACAGGATTTAAGCTCTGCGCTGTGAAAGGCAGTCGGAGTCTCTGATTGATTAATTAGCTGCTGTCGGTGAACCGGTTGAACGCGTCCGGCTCCTCTAACGAGTCTCTGTGACCCGCAGCCGGTCGGCCGGCGCCACGGAGACGGAGGCGGTCCCGTCGAAGCCTCGGTTCCACCTGGACCTGTGGCTCGGCTTCACTGTCCAGAACTGGATCCTGGATGTTGGCCGGCCTGTTGTCATGGTAACGGGATGGTGTTTTATAATGTTTTATTAATGAGCTTTATTTTTACAGACACATTCAGCCAGAAATAAACATAATTCTGATTTTATTTCACTTTAATTGATTTTGAATCCTTTCAGAGTTTAATGTCGAACTTTATGACAGGAAACAGTTAATTTCTCTTTTTATTGCAAATATTGTGTGTTGAGGTTGAGTGGGACAGTTTATGGATGGATAGTAATGTTGTTTTGGGATGATAATGCCTTTAATCAACTGTTAAAAAATCTTTATAATGTCTTAAAATATAAAGTTGGAGCTGAGTTCAAGAAACCTGACAGTGTTTAATAAAGTGAGACTAAACTTTTAGTAACAATGAGTCCAAGTCTGAAATGTCTCAGTTTAATTGAATCTTATTGGAATTTATCAATTAATAACATAAGTTATCTCAGGACACTTTTCAAACAGAACAGCTCTAGACCGAACTATTTAAAACATTAAAAGTTGAGTATAAAAATGCATAAATATATTAAATTAAATTAAAAAACAACAAATTTTCTATTTATCATCCTTTAGTAATGAAGTGAAATAAAATATGAAGGAAAGCAAAAAGAAAGAAAATCTGTGTGGATGAAAGACAAAGACAAATTATTAACATCAGACCTTTAAATGAGCAAATTTGGTATAATTTAATAATCTTTTGTGGTTTTTAGCTTTTAATTAACTGATAACTTTTTATTAGTTCCTCCAACTATCGTCACAGTAAAAGGATTAACATATAAACTTTATATCAGTCAGTATAAGTTGATTTTAAATAAATTCTCCAATTTAATTTCACTGTATGTTTATCAAGTTGGACAAACTACTGAAACCAGTAAAGGTCATTTATTTAAGATCCTCCTGAAAAAACATATTCAACACGGTTTATTTAAGAGTTTAACACTCAAACACTCAATCTAGATTCAATGGTTTTAAATTTGAAACGTTCAAACAGAATATTGTATTTTACAGATAAACTCAGACTGCTTTTTTTATTATTATTATTATTATTATTATTATTATTATTATTGACATTTTGGTTCTAGATTCAGTTTTGATTTAGATTTTCAATTTTTTTTCTTAAAATTCAGTTTTTGCATTAAAATAACTAAAAATAAATCTGCTTCATCAGGACAATCAAACAACCATCATTAAATTAAAATGTTGCTGAATCCTCATTGGCTCTGGGACCTATGTGACCTCATTGTGATTAAGCCCCGCCCACTTTGAACCAGATTATATAATAAATATAATACTTATATAATAAAAAGACTTGTAAAAGACTTTCATTTGAGTCCTCTGACGATCTTTTAAGGTAGAAATTAAACATTAAATCTCCTTGCAGCTCGTCCTCCCAGCAGACTGGTTTCCTTCGAACCGTCCCGGCGCCGCTGACTACCTTCACATCCTGTACAACATCACGACTCCGCTCGTCCTGCTCAAAGTAAAGAGACGCAGAATAACAACCTCGCACATACGGACCTTTCTGCCCCGCACTCAGACATCTGCTCTTCCTGCAGATGCTCCAACGCAGCCCTAGGACTCTGCCCCGAACTGCAGTCCGCCTCGGCATCATCGCCGTCGTCACAGGAACCAGCCTCCACCTGGCGGCGGACTCCGTCACCCGGCGGCTCCTGCTGATTGGCTACCAGCTGCACCTGTCGGTCAGAGACAATCCACTTATGAAGGACCTGAAACCGCCTTCGCTGGTACGTGAACGCAGTCATTAGTTATTAATGGGTTCAAGAAGACCATTATTATTATTATTATCATTATTATTATTATTATTATTATTATTATCATTATCATTATTTTATTCTGCAGATCGACGCCTTCGAGCTTCTGTTTTACTATGACGACACTATCGGTCACCTGATGTGGTAAGAAAACCCCAAACTATCACAGATCACACATAACTAAATCTTTAGTTTAAAGTTTATTGTTATGAAAATATATGTTCTGGACTGCAGTTCACTGAACGGCCACTGGTGGCGCTGTTAGCTACAGTTCACTGAACGACCACTGGTGGCGCTGTTAGCTACAGTTTAATGAACATTGTCTGAGTCACAAACTAAAGCTCTCACAGTGAATATTGTTCAGCCCTGATGGTGGAACGGGTTCACCCGTGCAGGTAATTATATCTGTTGTGTGGTGAGATGAGCTCCATCCTTCTACTCTACTACATATATTTCACTTTTAACTTCACTTTATCTGACAACTTTATAGAGTTTATAAAATAAGATGTTTTGCTATAAATTAAACAACCCAACAGTTCAAACAAGTAATAATTAATCAATTAGTTAATCGAAAGAAAAAATATTGGCAACTATTTTGGTTGTTTGAATCATTTTTAATGTAAGAACATTTAATATGTGAGAATACAGTTTTCCTAAGCCCCGCCCCTTTTTGCTATGCTCCAATAACAGTTGAGCAACGGTATTCAGGCTGTAACTTATCAGCTGTGATCATTTTTTCTCCTGCAGGTATGTTCCTCTCTTCCTCGTCCTCTTCCTCTTCTTCAGTGGTTGTTTCGCTCACAGGAAACTGGAGGAGACAATGCCGCCGGCAGCGTGGACGCTACTTGTCCCCAACGCCGCCTACTACTGGTTAGACTGCGTTACTGCGAGATTACTGGTTTAATTTCTGTCTCAAGTCTCCAGTTCCACGTCATGTTGTTTTTTAGCACATAGCATATACACACACGTTTTCATTTCCTACTAGTCAAATACTGCCACTGTCAGTTATTATATAATATAATATAATATAATATATTATAATATAATATAATATAATGTAATAATCCCTCTAGCGTCATTTCTGGATGCGCAGGGCTCCGCGGTTAAGTTAGCAACAATATATATATTTATATATAACATCCAGTTAGAAAAAAAGTAACGTAACATTATTAAACGGTCGCAGTTTGTTTAAGTTTAGGCACAAAATTGACTTGGTCAGGATTAAGAAAACGTATTTGCTAACATGAGCTAACTTCAGATATATATGTCGCTTTTATCTTTTGACCAAACGTGGTTGTCTTTTCAGCATAGATTAGCCTAGCATTTAGCATATCTCTCACAGGATGGCAAAGTCATGACCCACTGTGCCTGTGATTGGCTAGAACTTGTTGCCATCTTAGGTTTGGTTGGTTAGGTGTAGGTGTGAGGAGTCAGATTGGTTAAGGTAAGAATGTCAGAGGCAGAGCTGTGACTTTGCCATCCTGGGAAAAAAATATTGTGTACAAGAAAGGAGAAAGATGACGAGGTTCTGTATGACAGGCATCAGAGGGGATTTAGAAGTGTGTATACCTGCACTACATTGCTGGGAAGATGCATTTCATCATCTACAGAGGGATTTTTCTGTGTATTTAATCTTCTCACCAGAGGAAAACTCAGCGAGCAGGTCGGCTTTGTAATGAAACTCAGGGAGAAACAGACGGAGTCACTGAGGGAAACCTGTGTTTGCTAGAAGTGGTGATTAAGTTCATTAACGGGGCTGCAGGTGCATAAATCTACATTTACTTTGTGTTAGCAGCTCTGTGTAAAGTGAGCAAAACCAGGAGGCTCGTCTTGTATTCTTCACTCGACCTCTGCACATTTACATTCTGAGAGGCTCTCATCCATCCATCCACTCATCCATCCATCCATCATCCACTCGTCCAGCGAGGCCAACAGCAGATTAGAGTCCTTCTTCGTCGAACACAATCTGAAGAGCTCCGGGGTCGAGCAGCTCCCCGCTGAGACTGCAGCGGCATAAATGAGGCAAACTAACACAGACATGAGAGCAGACGTACTTAAAGAGATTATGTTGATAAACTGTTGAGTTATCTGGAGGTTTCTCACCCCGGAGTTTGTTAGTTTGAGTAATTACACAGAATCAATGCTCGGAGGTCATATATACGTTATCTCTCTCCAGCTGTCAGGATTCATCCAACATTATTAACTTAAACATACAATATGTAATTTCTACC